TTATTTATTTGTCATAGTACCCCAAGAATTTAAAACTACTTTCACCCTGATTACAAGTGAGGCTGCAGGAAGCTGCAGCTCCTTTCATAACTCACATGTCTTAGCAATGTAAATATAAGTCGATAGTCAATGGATGTTGCATGTAATTACGCAATTATTGAAAGAATATGCAAATTTGACAATGTGATTACAAAGTCGGGAGGAAAATGTGTTCATTTCTCTTTGTATTCACAGTGAAAACGATTCACCTTTCCCCTGCTGAACGAGGATCCAAAAGGATTAAAATCCCATTTTCCCGTTTGTCTTTTTTGTGAGGCACAGGAGGTCTGGCTGGACTGTACAAACGGAGCCGAGCTTGCTCACCTCTTCATGGTAAAAAGTGGCTCATTAGAGGGATCAGTTTTCTGCCCCCTTTGTAGCTATTCGCCGGACCGCTGGCTCTGATAAAGCACCTGAATCGGCGCTCTTTAATAATGATATATGAGAGCAGGTCTGAGGATGGTAGCAGGTCAGAGGACGGGGTGGTGGAGGAGGAGAGGCAGGGGGTGGATTAAAAAAAAAGTAATTTAAAAACTTGTAATGGAAGAACAAGTAAAAGAACCTTGAGCTGTTAAATTGATCATAACATTGACTATTGACCTCCATTTTCCTGTGTTTACCTATAATTGAGTGAGTCGTAACTTACACTATTAACAGAACGAAGGAGCAAAGACGTTAAAAAGCAAACCCTGTTTGTAACACGACTATTGATGCAGCACTGGTCAGTTTTCCTGTTTTTGTTTTTTGTTTAACCCTATAAAATCTAAGTTTCAGATCTCCGAACATTGCCATCCTAAAGAGCTAAGCTGCTAGCATGTTTTGGCTTCATTTAATTGTATGCAAAATGTCCTGTGAGTAAATATATTCACCAATTCATCCATAACAACTTGAACTTTAAATATTTAAGTTATTTTCACATTTTACAGTCTATTAAAAAAAGTTCCCTTCAGATTAATTTCACTCCCTGCTACAGGGTGAAATTACCATAGTAACCCAAGATTGGCTGGAAAGCACAACGTCTCCCTTTTCAAAAACTGTTGGAAGTTTTCAGACAGCGCAACTTGTGGTGAAATTACGGTACTGCACATTTGTCTGTGTCATCGCCGCTGCGTTCGGTCTGGAAGGGTTAATGTTATCACAGTTTGTCAGAGTCATGCTTCTGGAACAACAACAGTTTTTTTTTTTTGGTCATATTTTGTATTTTTCCCAATGTTCAAAACAGAAATATTTGAAAACATTCACAGGAGCTGCTATTTCACAGCTGATTATGAAATATTAAAACAATATTGCATAAAATACCTAAAATTAACTTCTGCTTTGCTGCTTATAATCAGTCATTTATATAGTACTTTGCTCGGAGCTGCTTCATTATATTATTAATAAATATGTTAACTTATCATAACAGACAACACCGGATACTTTCATAACCTCGGGTAATTCTCATGAAGCCTTTGTTAAATTTTGGAGAATTAGAAGTTAAATAGGCATTCTAGTGTCCTAAAGCAGCCACACTAATTCAATTCAAAGTATTTCGTATTCTTTTTTTTGCTGTAACCTTCGATTTTTAATTCATATTTCTCTTTAACTCAAAAACCACTTTGCTTAAAAAGTTGGATACAAGCAGAAATGATAAAGCTATTTAAGCGGCTGATCGCTGTGATGCTGGACATGTCTGTCATTTTCGCCATGAAGTTCATGTTTGAGAAAACATGGTTTTATTCAGTAAAGTATAAATAAGTTATTAAATGGGAGTTAAATATGCAATTCTTAGGAGTTGTCAAGGAGAAAAGTATGTTATTTGCAGTTTATTAGAAGGCCCATTTTTCCCCCATCTGGAGTTGCCCTTATTTTTAAACTGAACCCTATTTTTTGTTTCTATTTTTAGACCAGTCAGAGAAAGCCAGAACTTATTCAATATTCATAACAGGCTAAATTTTCAGGGATTTTCTCCTACTGAAGATATATAAATACTAAAGGTTTTCTATAATTTCTCAAATTAAAGAAAAGAGGGGAAAAAAGGAATAAAACAACAAATGAAACTACCAATGATTACTTATGGGGGTGAATTACTTGCTTATATTTTGAAGCAACTGTAGTCAGTAAATTGATAAAAACGCAGGGTACAGCTTCCATCTAAAGAACCATAATTAACATGTAATTACACAGTAAACATTACAAGCAATGCCATTCAGCTGCCATTAGTCTAAGTGGGTATCTGCTACTACAAGCTATTGTCTTAAAGTCTACTAATTACCTACTCAGCATTTAGCAGTGAAGCACTGCTGTATGTTTACTTGCCAAATATGGAGCTATTAAAGATATTTCATTAAGTCAATGCGACCAGTACGGACTAAAATGGATTTAGTCAGTACTTTTTAAATGTAAACAAGAAGGAAACCAGAGCTGGACTGTTCCAACTCCTCAAAACCCAAATAAATGAAAAACCGTGATGACAGCTGTTTTCACATGAGGAATCTAAAATTTAGAGAGATTTTTGAGTGTGTGTGTGTGTGTGTGTGTGTGTGTGTTTGTTTTGTCTTGTTTGTTTTTTTATTGGAGCTGCCCATTAGACGAGCTCTTCAGTGCAAGAGATTTTGTGGCGCAGATGTGCTCTGAAAGCTAGCTACGTAAATGAGGTGTTGTATGGTAATGGATCTCTTGAGTGCACAGGAGACGGGCTGTGATGCAAAAAGGATGAAAATCACTGTTTATTTCTTTACAACAAGCCGTCAAGAGTGTGGGACGAGGCTGACTGATAACTGTGTTTGTGTTGACGAGCGCGCAGACGTGAGGCGCGCCTACAGCGGCCAAAAATAAATAAATAAATAGATAAATGGGAGAGAAACACAACAAGACACAATCCCTGAGAATAATATTTCCCATTTTCAGGAAGTTGAACGTGAACCTTTGCAGATAGAAGAAGCAGCAACCGACTGGCTTCCAAATGATGGATTCCCACCATTTTCAAACTATGAACATGTTTAAAACATATTTACTTTGATGTAATTTATGTTTCATTTGAGCAAAGAAAAAAAAAGATAGAAATTAAGGAAAGATGCCATGATGGATAAATGCTGATAATCTTATCATTTACCTTTATCCTACCCTCTTTATCAACCAAACCAAAGACTTTCTCTTTGATACGTTCTGATCTCACAGGAAATATTTACAATTGACGTTTTTCACAATTAGAAGCTTTCATGCCATCACCGCTCCACAGAGCCGCTGCGGTGCTGATGCAATCCTCTGTTTAACTTTCAGATGCAAAATTCAGACTAGACAGTAGAAGGTCAGGAGCACAACCGAGTCCATTAGCAGAAACGGGAACATCCCAACCAAATGAACTGAAGCTCCGCTGTGAACTGTCACTCCACTACATTAATTAGTTGTGGTGTTGAGATCCTTCTCTGTGCGGTCGCAGCTTTTAAGGAAACCTGATGAAAGTATTTTCATCAAGATCTCATGATGTAGCAAGATGTCAAAGGTGCCAAACTGCTGCTGGACGCAGCTCATTACTGAGAGAGAGCAACACTGACAAAAAAAAAAAAAAAGAAAGAAGGGGTGAGTGAAAACAAAGATTTCATGACCGCTGCCCAGCTTGTGTTTGATTCAACGCCACATGCTGAAATCTTTTGCATGGAAGATAATTCAAAGAACTCCACTCATATCATTAAAGTGCTACGTCTTCTTTCGTGCATTTCCAGGCGAGTTCAGTGTCTAATTCCACGGTTTTGCCTTTAAGGACTTTTTGTCGCTGCCTATAATACGGATTATTACCTTTCTATTTGCCAGTGTAGCTGCTCTGAGCTGCTGGTCTGTGCACTGCTGAAGTAACAGGCGCTCCTCTTTTGCAAGACGAGCATCCTGCAGGACTGCCAACTAAAAGCAATGAAAAAAAAAAAAAAAAAATCAATCTCCTCTCAGAGAGCTGCGTTATGTAAAGTCCAGCAACCTGACGACAGTCAGGGTTAAAAAAGAAAAAAAAAAACAAACGTCGAATGTGTTATTCCTGAGCTTTTTGAACGCTTTTCTGGATTTGCATTTTCAAAGAACAGCAACTCGCTGGCTAGTCTGCACCAATGCATCCCTAACACACACACAGACACACACACACACCAAAGTGCTATGGGCTGTGTACTCCAACTCCTATCACCCTCAGCAGTAACGTTGTCAGTAATGTGAGGAGTCTATCTGTTGGATTGGACTGTACAGGCCGATCTTTGATCCCAACATGCATCAGTGAGCCTTAGCTACTCAAGACCCTGTTGCTGTTTCATCACTCTTCCTTCCGTGGGTCGTTTTTTTTTTTTTTTTTTTTCTTATACTGACCTGCTACAGCCTGGCAACAGTCAAGTTAGCCTCTGGCAAATTCGAGGATATCCTAAAAGCTGCCCATTCATCCTGATCCTAACACATTGACTTTGAGGATAAAAGTTAACTTTCTGACCGATATACCGCTAAAGCTTACGGTCCAATGATGTGCAGTCAACGGAGGCAGGTGACGAAGTGTCTCACCTGTGATCCTAAAATCGGCTAAAACTTTCTGTCATCTGGTCCCTACAGTACACAGTTTCTACACCGACTGGAAAATTTAAATTACCAATTGACCCAGAATCCTGTTTTTCTTCCCTGCCCCCAGAGGAAACTGGAGTACCAGAAGAAACTCACAGGCACAAACTTTGTCAATAAGAGCAGCAATCTGCCTTACAGGCAGGACTCACCACCGCGGCTCCTTGCTCCAGTACACACTTCATTTACACAGCAATCGCGTTACAGGGCGGCCAGGCTGTACGGACGAACAACAGCGATAGCATCACGTTTAGAAGACAAAAACATATCTGAATGTGTTCTATCTTCATGCATTTGTGTGATGCAAACTTTATCGAGCGAGCTGTTCTTGCTTCTGTCATGTTGTGTGCTAAAGCTAACTTAGGTCATTTTTATGCTAGCACTGTGCGCAACACAAGTTTACTCTGGTTGGCAGAGTGGTTGTTGGGGACCCAAAGGCTCACAGGACACAGACAATGTTATTTTGAGGTGAGTTTAGCCAACTAAACGCTAATTATAACACAAAGAAAACAGGAAGTACTCTTGAGAAGCATTGAGACGGTGTAAACCGGTGAACGATTTCACTGATGCAGCTGGGATAAAACAGCAGAAGAGGGAGAAACAAAGGGAGCAAAATCTAAACAAAACGAGTTAGAATCAAGAAAATGGAAAAAAGCTAAGCCACTGAGACAGGTAGTATAATAATGACTAACCATCAGAATTTACTAAAATACAAATTCAACCCAAAATGGCACAGAATTCAAGACCACAACAGAACCAATGCTCTTCATATCATGGCTAATTCTTTCTTTCTTGTAATAAGGAATTGTTGTTTCTTTCTTCCTATTCCACTTTATTCTGCAGGAATTGGCTATTCAGAAGTAATTTTTTATTAGACAACTGGTAAAAAAAAAAGCACTTCTGTCGGTAAGAACAGGTCTGTCAAATGATTAGCATAAAGTGAAACAAAAATTATTAGCATGGCAACGCAAAAACCTTTGGCTTCACAAGTCTGCGAAAGGTGACAAATTAAGCCCACTGCTGGTTTTTCATGACATTTTGACGAGACTGTGAGCGTAGGTCTGTAAAAGCAACTAAGTCAAACATTTTTTGCTACCATTACAGGTGTGACCATTCGCCAAGCCACATAAGAGAGAATTGGTTTAATCACAAGCTATATTTAAATAAAAGGGAAAGGGGGGAAAAAAAGGTAAAACAGTTAGGGAAAGAAATCTCCAAAGTGATGTCACGCTGATAAGACTTATTTTCCCCTTGCTGAAATACATTTTTGAAAAACTTGTCATTAAGAATACCCAGCTGTTCCATTTTCTAAGAGGTGATAAAGTGCTCATGCAAGACTTTTAACAAAAGGAGCACACGCGAGGCTGCGGGTTCACGCTGAGTTTCTGTCATCTGAGAGTTCAGCAGTCTGTCGTAGCAGCTATTATTAATCTGCAAACAAAACACGAGGACAACTCACTTGTCTTTGCAAATACATCTGGCGCATCGCAAGCGAGCCTCAGAAACCGTTCCTTCAATGAACTTTAATAACTGCTTACTGTGCGCAAAAAATTCCTTTACTGAACTTTAACCGCGCGTCTTCTCGACACGCCGCAAACGACAACTTTATAGAGGCATCTCACTGTATGCGTGCCCGCTCCGTGCTCGTGTTCACACGCAGCCCTGGGTGTTTTCTGCTCTCCGTCACAGGGTCTGTTTTCCATATTGAGATAAGGAATTAAATCTGCAGGAGCAGAGGACTGCCGGGGCTGCTGCAGGGCGGCGAGGCAGCCGCTCTGATAATGGAGCCGACTCCCATTGAGCGGGCCGCGAGGCAGCCAGTCGTGGCGCCGGGCCAGCCCAGACGCCGTGAGAGGAAGGTTGACAGAGTCGCCTCGCACAGGCCCCTTTCTCTACCTCTTCCAGAGGTTAGAGTGAAAAACGCTTTATTTCCCCTCCGCAGCTCCGTTTGAGTTTTGAAAACGTGGGAGCCGAGGCACTAAAAATGGCGGGAACCGGAGGCTTAGCTAGCTCCAGTGATAAATGGGGCAATCAAACCCCGAGGGTGATCGATCGTGTCGAAGGATGATAGCCGGCTTTCGGCCAGCTTGGGGGGTTAAAGTCCTTCTGTTCTGCATAATGGCAACAAAAAAAAATTCCATCCCGTTTCATGTTTGGAGTCTGAATTTCTGGTTATGTAATAGGTAAAATGTAATTTATGTTAGGGAACTCACCCGAACTCTGGGCGGTGGTGTGGTGGGTGCCGCTCACCGGGTTTTCTTCAGAGCCGTCTGCAGAGAGAAATAACAGCTCAGAGTTAATGTGAACACACACTCAGGGCTGCGGCGGTGGGTTTAGAGCAGTGGTCCCCAAACTTTTTCCTGTGAGGGCCACATAACTTTTCCCTTCTCTGGTGGGGGGCCGGAAATTGTTGACGGGGGCCGGGGGTGCGTTTCTCGATTGATTTTTACCCAGAAAGCACATAGGCAAAAACCATGAGTGAAACGGTCACTGGGACTGACTAGTATATATTCCATTGAGGGAAAGTAACTATAACATATTAATTTCTCATATGTTAACATAAAGGCTCGTTTTGAAGTATAAGCTGCTACTTACTTACAGACATTGCTTCGAAGAATTCAACCTGGAATGCGGCGTTCATAACAGACACGTGTGTTCATCTGCTCTGCCGCTAGCAAACAATCGTACTGATTAAATAACATAAAAGTCAAGCAGTTCCCTAAAAGTCCAGCAATGCGCCATGCAAAACAAAACACCCACAGTTTACAGGACACACTTCCTGCTAAAGAGCCCCCTAGTGGTTGATGAAAAATCCACATATAAACCGGAAAATACAATAAATGAAAAAAAAAAAAAATCTGAACGCTCTCTGGTATTGTTCAGGGGGCCGGACCAAATGTGGAGGCGGTCCGGATCCGGCCCGCGGGCCGTAGTTTGGGGACCCCTGTCCTGGCCACTCACACAGGTCTAAAGGTCAAAGGGATTCATAACAGCCACTGCAGGCCATTCAGCACT